TTTAAATGATACAGTAAAAGTCTTTGATGATAATGATTTTCCAGCATTACAAAGGCGAGATTCATCACGGTGGCTAAAAGTAAGAAATGTGAAACTAACACTTAAAGTCAGAATATTGTACTACCAGTCTATTTTTCCATGTACTTTGTCCATTCATCAGGTATTTATTGAGCATCTATTAAGTATAAGACTGCATGTTAACAAAGATTAATTTTTGTCAAAGATGAAATTTCTCTTGAAATAACTTACAAAGTGGCAAACAAGACACAGACACATAACAATTAAGCACTATAAAAAGTGACATATGTCTTCTTAACTGTATAAAGTGTCATAGTCCTTTGAAAGATGAAATACAATTTTAAGTGTGGACATCAGAAGTTAGAACTTGTATAGTGGTTAAGGGTCATTTCAAGAAAAACATAAAGTGGTCTTATGTTTCCCCAAATCAGAAAGTCTTAAGTTATTTTATTGTTTATGAAAGAGTAAATAATCATGCTCAAATTTGATTAATATTGATTTCTTACCCAATAGCAAGGAATGTGAGACACTGGATCGTATGAGGTAGTAAAATTTGTATTAGTTCATATAACTAGGGGGAAGCATCAGAAGCAATATAATAATGGGCTTGTATGTAGGAAGCATCAACAAATATTTAATTTTTTCATAACTTTTAAGGTTAAAAAAAAACTTCTACAAGCTCCAACAAATTCTCAAACTATTGTCAATAGATTACATGGGACTGTGCAGAAAACACATTAAAATTAAAACTGCCATTCTAAATATTCCTAGGTCAGTGCTTCAATGAACCAGGAATTAAAATGTTGCAATACTATAGTATGTTCTCCTAATACAATTTAATTCTTCCTAAAGAGGGAGAAGATAACTTCCAGAGAGGCTTTCTTTGCTTTGCAAAGATAGACATTAGATAACTGGCTGCTATAATTTATTACAGAAAGCAAGCATGGGTGTTGTGTGAAACAATTTTCTGAATTATTAAAAGTTTTGTTGACTTCACAGTTTGTTGCCAGTCGTTTAACTCTTATGTCATAACTGAGACAACTAAATAGACTCAACAGACTCTTCCAGGAGATTTAAATGGAGTCAAGGTCAAGTGCTGGAATGGGCAGGACAATGACAACAATGTCTATTCCCTTCTCTTTGTTTGATCAGTGGCTGCTCTGATTAGTCAGTTTGTGTTGAACAAAGGGGTCAACATTTTGACTATTACCTTTCATGCCAGCCTTACTCACTTATATCTTCCAGTGCCATTTTTTCTAGTTATAACTATTTACCTCCTATTTGCACCTTTAATAGTAGCTATAAATATTAAAACTTGGCCTAAATTCTCATTTCCAGTAGCAGAAATAGATATGATTGACCCTTGAACAACACAGGGGTCAGAGATACTGACATCTGTGCAAGTCAAAAACTGCATGTAACTTTTGTCTTCCCAAAAACTTAACCACCAGTAACCTACTGTTGACTGGAAGCATTATCAATAATATAAACTCTTGATAAACATGTTTTATATATTATATGTATTATATACTGTATTCGTAAAATACAGTGAGCTAGGGAAAAGAAAATGCTATTAAGGAAATTATAAGGAAGAGAAAATATATCTACTATTCCTTAAGTGAAAGTGGAGCATCATAAAATCTTCATCTTCATGTCTTCATATTAAGTAGGTTAAGGAAGAAGAGGAGAAGTCAGCCTTGCTGTCTCAGGGCTGGCAGACACAGAAGAATGTCTCCCCCCATTCCCACCTCATATGCAGAACACAGAAGGAAGTTCACATATAAGTGAATCTGCAGAGTTCAAACCTGTGTTATTTGAGGATCAACTCTACAATACATATATATTATAGATATGTATGTATATATATTATAGACATATAGATATATATGTATATTGTACATATATAATTATGTATATCTATTATATATGTGTATGTATATTATATATTTATATATAATTTCTTGATTGTTACATATATTGACCATCTGTATGGTAAACTTTTCTGTAGAGTTATGCTCATGTGAATGGAGCTGTTTACATCTTTTAGACTTTTTTTCATGGTGAGGGTAATTGAATATCAAATAATTGGCTTCTGTAATCCTAATGAAGATAATGTCAGCAATGTAGTTAAGATTTCTGGCTAGTTTATCATAAATGCAAACTCTTATGTGTTCTTACGTCATGCTCTAAATTAATCAGATGGGACACCTGTCTTCCCTTCAGGAGTTTATACATTGTGATTAAATAGAAAAGCATATGCCTGAGGGAAAACTTGCTGGCCTACTAACCTATATTTGGGAGTCATGTTCATTGATGAGCTTAAAAATCCCTTGGTAGCCAACAATTATCTGCATTTTTCCCAAATGTTCTGACAAGTCAGTTTCCCATCATCTGTTTGGTGCTGCCTGGTTATATGCTGCTCATATCACCCCTCACAGGCCACAAGTATACAGTGGTCTATGAAGCTGCCACTCCTCAACCCTGCCCCAATAGCCCTTTCTCTCTGAATGGTGGTTCCTGTGAATACTACAAAAATGGAAATTGTCAGCATGGGCAGGTTGCCATATGGACGTTGACAGCTGCTCAGTCAGATTAAGACAAATGCACACAGGCAATGTGAGCACACACATAAAAATAATAATAATTCAGTAGAAAACTTTGTTGTTTTGCTATCGGCATTTTTTCCAGGATTTTTAGAAATAGAGTATCTATTTTAAAGATTGTTTTGTCAGCAGATAAGCTTGAGCTGGTATTGATATGAAGTAAACCAAAAAAGAGTAAAGTAACCTTTAAAATGCTGTATTTCCAATTTCGATCCTCTTTGCCTCTGGCCACAGTGTTTAATTTAAAATGACTCATTCTCCCCCCATTCCCACCTCATATGTAGAACACTTCTCCTAGGTATCTTTCAAAATAATAAATGAAGACCCTTACTTTGTGAAAAGGGAAATACTGCTGAACAAATTGTAAAAATGTGTTTTAAAAGACTGCATAACATGCCAAGAAAAAAAGAACAGAATTTTACAACCCACTGAAAGATAACACACCACTATCAATAGCCAAGCTCATGAATAAATAAATATTTACAACATATACATATGCATATCAACGCGGGACTACATCACAGAAACTCAGAATCTGTGAAAAATATTTATGCAATGAATATACGGTACAAACAGAGGTACTAAAAAGGAAATAATTTTAAAGTAAAGCCAACACATTTCAAGTTTTTCAGTAACTTGACTGACCTTTCCAAAATACCCAAAACTCTTTTAACAATATGAAACACGTTGCTGTGATTGCCTATTCCTGAACTTAACTGAGTCATATCATCATCATACAGCAGAGCTAGCAAATTTCTAGCTGAGCTAGTTAGAGTACATTGGAAAAAGTGGTCATATGTTCAAAGACGAAACATTTCAGACTTGCTTTACAAATGAAATCCAGTGCATCTGTATTCAAAGCTGTGTGGAATGAATAAATGCTTAGGAACACACACAAGCATTTTAAATCAACCTTTCTGAATAGGTTAACAACTTTGCTGAAATCTTACAGCTGTCGTTCTCACCAGGTAGCTAGAGCTCCAAAGTCTATTGCTTAAGTTTAACACAGGAAATTAAACTTTGACATGCTATAGGCACTGACCATACATAAGAAATACAAGTTAACACTCCTGACATCAATAACACCATACATCTCTAGATCCTAAGCCACCGAAGGCCGGCATGCAGGCTAACATAAATAACAGCTTGCAGTTTGCAAGGAAAAAAAAAAAAAAAAAAAACATTGATAACGCTAGGAAATACAGTAATGTGGTGATAAAATTTACAAGGCCTGAAGATAATTTGCAGCACACTCCTCTGGGTGGATCTGTACCAATCATCTAAGCTAAGTGCCTGATGGAACTTTTCCCTCAAAGGTACAGTAGGTAGACAATTTGTAATATCTTGAATGCAACCAAAAGAGAAGCAGAGAGACCAAACCATTGGGGCTTGGGTATTTAGAAAATCCTGCTGAGATTTTGAGATACATTTTAAAAATTTCTTGTTCATAATGTTCATGCTTCTCTTGAACCTCAGATGATAAACACAGACAGGAAAGAAATAGTAGGGGAGACTCAGAAAACATTTTTTAGAGCTAAGATAAAAACAGGTAAAAGAATGCTTCTGAAAAGCAAAATTCTCAGATATATCTCCCATCAAGATTTTTCCCCAAACATACAAACAGTGTCCAGAAAGTCTCTCGTGGGATATGTCTGCAGCATCATTTTGGCTCACAGCATTCACAGAACACATACCTTGATAACTTGTGTTGATATAAACATACGGCATTCAGGGGAAGCAAAATCAACTGAACTTTACAGAAAGGTTCATTCAAAGTCCCAAAAATTCTCTCCCATCTCATGATAATTTTTCAACAGCAGAAGAAAATGGATTATAACACTTCAAACAAAGTACTGAAAGGCTTTTTCTCATTCAGCAGATTTTTCCAATAAAGTTAATGCAATTTATCTTTATTAACACTTCAACACTGATAGAGTCAGCCAGAAAATTAGTGTTGGTGGCAATGCATTTCACAACATGCCCTTCCTCAGACATCCCTCTGATCATTTCACAAAATCTGCCAACAATTCAGGAATCTAATATATTCACAACCCTTTCTTTTTAAAATAATGCAGCTTCTGAAGGAGAACACATATATTCTTGCACTAGAGCAGCATGAATCTGCTCTTATAGTCTCCCTGCTTGAAATGATCACTGTAATGCTTAGAAGCCAAGAAAACCAAACATTGCAAACATATATTGATATCAAAAAGACAGAAAACTCTTCTTTCTAGCTAAGTGCAACACAGATCCCCGTTCCTGAAAGAAAAACCTGATTTCAATCAGAAGCAATTGCTTCACCCTGAGCTGTCCTTAAGTTAGCATTCACTGGCCTTGATAACTCCATATAGATCTTAACAGAAAACTTTCATCACTTACCCCCCTTCCAAGGTTTTCCTTTCCAGGGGGTCCGGGTCAGCTTGCTCAGGGTTGGTCCAGAGAGGAAGAGCATCAAAACGAAAAGAAGTTCAAGCCTAGTAATTTTCTCCACTTTCTCTGATGATAACATTTCCACAAGTTAATTTCACAAAATTTCTCACATCCTCTTCCCTCCTGGTTATGAAAATAGCATTAATGACTGAAAAACCTGAGGTAGGTGTTGTTTTGCCATCTTTAGCAGCTGAAGTAGCAGCTTCCTGATGTAGCCCTGAGCCAAGCTACATTTCTCACGGATCCGGCTCCTTCTCAGTACGCAGTCAGCCCTGCTTCTACTCCAGAAGCTATAAAATAATTTCTGTTCTCCACTTTGCTTTCAGGGGGAATATATTCCTCAGCGTTCTGGGTGAGCTTGATTGAAAATGATAAAAACAGTAATGTCTGTGTCCAGCAGAAGAGAGAAAAGACGTCAGGATTATGTGAAAAAGATGAGAAGCAGTTGTACTGACAGCTTTCAGGCTGCCTGTGTGATCCTAATAGCCGTGCAACCAACCAAATTGCTCTTTTAAGAGTAATAAGGCTTCATTGAAATCCGGTGTCATTGCTACTTGGGTGGGTAGTGCTGGGCTTGAAAACCACCCAGGAACCGCCACAGATAACGACTGCTTCAGTTCAGCTTCAGAATATTAAGGGCTGAGCAAAATATAGTATGCACAGAAGGTAGTTAATCTATTGTGTGGCTAGACGAGGATTCAGGCAATGTAGTACAGAAAGACTCAGAGAAAGACTCAGAACTTGAAATACATTTTATTTTTCCTTTACTTCACCTCATGACATTCAAAGGGGATTGCATCTGCACTAATGATTCATAAATGGGTCTGAAATATTTATTAGATGAACAATAATAAGTATATAATTTTTCTCCCCAGCAATAAAACAGGAAGAGCAAGTTCTCAATATGTAGTTGCAGCTCTCCTCTGTATTAAATGAAGTCAGTTCGTTTTGGCATTCCTGTGTCACCTTAATGAACCCACCCTGAATGTCAAAAGCAAACTTTTGGAAATACCAACATAGTCTGCCAAGGCTTTCTTGAATGTGTTAATTCAAGAAAGCACATTTTTATTTGTTTGTGTATATCACCATGGAAATATAAAAAGCTCCCCAAGTCTTTCTGTCTTTTGCAACTATATTTATGCAGACATTGCTAGTCACAAGGTGTGGTTATAATTAACACATGACTGTGCCCCTGGATGAAGATGACATGGGTGAAGGCATACATGTAAAATAACATAATTTGGTTTTGTCTGGCATGGTAGCTCACACCTGTAATCCTAGCACTTTGGGAGGCCAAGGTGGGAGGATAACTTGAACCCAGGAGTTTCATACCAGACTGGGTAACACAGCGGGACCCCTGCCCCAACCTCTACAAAAAAGGAAAAATTAGCCTGGTATGGTGGTACATGCCTGTATTCCCAGCTACTCAGGAGGCTGAGGCAAGGGGATCACTTAAGTCTGGGAGGTTGAGGCTGCAGTGAGTCATGATCGTGCCACTGCACTGTAGCCTAGGTGACAGAGCAAGACAGTGTCTCAATAATAATAATAATAATAATAGAAATTTTACCACCTGAAGTGAATTGTCATCATCAAAGCATCCTGGCTACTATTTTAAACCTGTCTACATGTTAATATTATACATATGGTCGCTTATTTCCTTAACCAGGGAGCTATAATACATGAATTATGCACTTGTGTATTTTAAAGTAATCAATTTCTATATTATGATAACCACCAGTTTTATGATGTTATCAATTTCAAAAGGGAATAAATTGCCTCTTTCAAATCATATTCTTGGAAGAGCTACCTTTAGAAGAGTAAGTTACCTTGTTTAGATAAGCCATGTATTAAATTTGAAAATACGGTTATTACAATTGGCTTTTATATAAAGGAAACAATGTTTGTCAAAAAAAAATTAATGGAACATACAAAATAAACTCTAAGATTGTGCCTTAGTTTAGAAACAATGATCACCCTGTATTCACTTTTAATTTAAATACTTCTGTGTGAGGAAGGAAAAAACGTATGCCCATTTTATAAATAGTGAACTTAAAATTCCATGTCTTTGCATACTTAAAAATGGGAAGCTTATATTTAACTCAGAATTTGCTTTTCTTTTTCTAGTCACTATCCTCTTTACCTGCCCACTTCCTCTCTCTTTAAATGCAAGTAAACAGAAGTTGGTAGAATAAACTGACCAACTCCCTCACCACCACCTTCTGAGGAAGACTCTACAACCAAACTCATTAACCATCCACTGGCTTCATTCCTCTTCAAAGAAAAAGCACAACCTTTCATGAAAAAAGTGTCTTGGGCCTCTGGTAGAATAGAAAAATGTCAAGTAGGTTTGAATATAATAAAAGGGTGTGAGTAGAAACATTGAATTTTTCTGAAGGGTCCGGCCCGAATAAGGTTACTAGGAAAAGCATTCTTTTCTGAGTATGAGGTTAAGTTGGCCAGATTCACTCCAAAAATATTTCATGTTTTCCAGCTTTATGCGTGTCCCTGCATTCTCAGCAAACTAACAAGAACAGAAAACCAAACACAGCATGTTCTCACTCATAAGTGGGAGTTTAACAATGAGAACAAACGGACACAGGGAGGGGAACATCACACACCAGGGCCAGTCGGGGAGGTCAGGGGGTTGAGGGGAGAGATAGCATTAGGAGAAATATCTAATGTAGATGAAGGGTTGATGGGTACAGCAAACCACCATGGCACATGTATACCTATGTAACAAACCTGCATGTTCTGCACGTGTATCCCAGAACTTAGAAGTACAATAAAAAAATAAGTAAATAAAATAAAATACAAAAAAAAAAAACCTAAAAAAAATTTCATGTTTAGATTTCCAAGATTTCTTTCCTTTTCAGTAATCTCTGGTAGACACCCGGCCATAGCTCTCTCTGATGGGGAAATTGAAATGGAATTGGAAGAGCCAAATCACTGTTGTTCATACAGGGAACGTCACTCTCTTCCAGAATTCATCTGGCAGAAGCTTGATGTTCTGCTGGAGCTTTCTGCACACCATAAGAGATGAGAGAAAACCTCCTCATATGGAACTAGGTGGGGGTAGCCAACAGAATACATAAGGGTAAAATTTGAGGGAAAAGTGAAAGATTAAGTGGAGAGGCAGTCCAATGAGACATGCATCTGTGTAAGTATGAGTTTACACATGCCTTTCCATCTATGTTAATATTAATAACAAATTAGCTAACATTATAATTTCTAAGCACTTTTCATTCATCAACTCATTTAATCCTCACCAAAACACAATGAAGTAGGGATAATTCTTACCTGCATTTAGTACAGTATAAACTGAGGCACAGAGAGTTTAAGTCACTTATCCAAGGTCATAGTGCTGTGTTTTGAATTCAAACCTCTCAGTTCTGAGCCTTTGCTAATCCCTATGCTAAAGGCTCTGCTGGCCTGTTGTCTCTGTACTCTCAGTCCTCTGAGCTACCTTGCTCATAAGTAACAGCTTAATAGAAAGAATAACAAATAATAACATGCTCAATACATGCAAGGTTTTAAATGTTTTAGATGTTTATTTTCACGAACTTGTGAGGTGAGTCTTTTATTATTCATGCTCCACATATTGCCACTTAGCCAATGTCACATAGTGATTACACAGCAGAGCTACAATTTGAACCCTACATGGCCCCAGTTTTTGTTATTTGTCTCTTTTACTGAGTCTGGTGCATGGACCTTGGGAAACGGGAAAGGGCTCAAGCGAAGCTGGAAAGGTAAGAGAGTTAGAGGGGGTTTTGGGTAACTGCAGCTTCCAATCCTCCTTAGTTTATTGGCAGCAGCACAAGATCTATAAATGGGAAGATATCAGAGAAGGTCCACTGGGAGAGGTAATCAGAATAAAATTCCTCACCACCTGCTTGCGCTCAAAGGAAAACATAAAGTAAAAGAAGGCCCCAGCAAGACCTGACTTACAGACACTCACCATACAACATAATAAATGCTTTAATGCAGGCCATAAAGAATTGTTAGGAAGACTGCAGAGAAGGAGTACTATAAAGGAGGTATATATTAAAGTGAAGTTCAGTGGGAGAGAAGAGAAAGAGCTGGTTCAGCTAGGACATTCAGGGCAGAGAAGGTGGCTTTTCACTAAGTATCAAATAATGAGAATATATTTCAAGACTAGGTCAAGTCGGGCAAGAGGCAGAGGATAATCCAGGCTGAAGAAATAGCATGAGCGTGATTACAGGGATGCAAGAAAGCCTGTCCCCTTCCAGGACCTGCCAGGAAGGCAGAGTGGCTGGATGAGTAGCAGGGCGCGAAGTAGCGGTGGTAGGCAGAGGCTAGAGTGAAATCTTCAGTACATCTACTGCCAAAAGTCTTAGGCTTTCCCCTCAATGGTAGGGGATCAACAAGGGGTTTAAATCAGGGAAATTACATGATCCAAAATGAGTTTTTTTAAAAAAATATGTGGCTGCATTATGATGGAGAAGGAAATTAGAAGCGGGAAAAACCACTAAAATATACAATAGTCCAAGCAAGAAAACTTTGGAAACTGAACTGAAAGTACTGGGAAGAAATAAAAAGAGATTAATTTGAAATAAACTTTAAGGCTTATTATCTACATTCCTTAATTGAACAAACATTTAATAACCTATACATTAAGCCAGAAAAAATGCTAGGTATTTAAAAAATAATCAAAGTCCCTGTTATCAAAATGCTTATATCCTTAAGAATTTAATTACATATTAGATACAAAGAATAACAGGAAATTATTCCAGCATTTAAACTCTCTTCTTTAAATATGTCATTTGAAGTTTGATTTTGTCTGTCCTGCTAGCATTTGCTTCAACTTTGACACCATTAAGGAAGATTTGGGATTCTTTGTAATTACATGTATTCATTTTTATCCTAGTACCATGGATTACTCTATTCTAATTATACCCCCGACATCTTACTATTTATGCACAATAAATACCATCTTGTCTTTTATTTTCTTAATAAGGATATAATTTTTACTAATCTCTGATACCAGGTAATAATGGCATAATGTGAGCTATATTATTTGGCTTTTAATGGTTGAACATGTATGAGATAAAACCTTCCATAATGAGTTTACAAACAAAAATTCTCACTAAGCATTTGAAAAATCTACATCAAATTTTATATCAATATGTTGTTGTTTTTAATCTCGTTGATTATACTCACTTCATTAGATGAAGTTGAAGACTGAGACAAATCCATTTTCTGAAAATTCTGTGAGTTTGGTCAGTAGGTAACTAGCAGTGTCTCAATGAGGATCAATTTTAACCTCAAAAAGACATTTGGCAATGTCTGAAGACAGTTTGTGGTTGTTACAACATGGTTGAAAGAGTGCAACCCTCTTGTGGGTAGAGGCTAGGGATGCTGCCAAACATCCTGTGATGCACAGGACAGGCATCCCGACAAAGAATTATCAGGAAAAAAAAATCTCCATAGTGTGGAAGCTGAGAAACTCTGAGTAATCCTCAGCTTGTCTGATCACAAGATGATAATTCTTGTAGCCATCATTTTATGTAAGTATAGTCAGAGCTCAGAAGAAATGGTGTACTTTTTTTCTCTCCCTTCTTCTTCTTCTTTTTTTTTTGAGACAGGGGCTTGCTCTGTCACCAAGGCTAAAGTGCAGCGGTGAGATCATGACTTACTCGAACTCT